AACATTCATATCACCGGATAACTGACTGTTTACAAATCCTCTACGCGTATCCAATACCACTACACGAATCGGTCAAAGGACTACACGCAATCCGATCTCAGCCTGGTTCGAACTCAGGCAAAGCTCAGGTGACGAAACAGGTCACGGACTAAAATGACTACACGAATTCACTTTAACCCAACAACCAACCCCAGTGACTACACGAATTCACTGGCGCGAGCTGGAAGATACATCAACAGCCTTATCTGATCACATGAATATTAACTTCCCCATCCCAACTCTTCTCGTTTTTCTAAATCAACAGTCGTATTCCACACTTAAACCATGGTTCACCACCTAACTCAGTCAACACACCCACACATGTCACTAAGTCTGTTCATGACGCACGAGGCCAATGGTTCACCACCTAACTCAGTCAACACACCCACACATGTCACTAAGTCTGTTCATGACGCACGAGGCCACTAAGTTATGAACTACTAAGGGTTCTCAAACTAAGTCTGTTCATGACGCACGAGGCCACTAAGTTATGAACTACTAAGGGTTCTCAAACACAACCAGGAATAATAATAATATGACTATTTCTATGCAAATACATTAAAATAGAACGCAAAATATAAAATGCAATCATAAACAGTAAAACATACATGCATTCCGATTTCATTAATATCTTGTTATTCGAACCTCAAAACCACTCATAAAAATTATACGCAACTAAAATAATATTGAAAATAACTATGGTTAAAAAAACTAAAATTCATTATCGTTTTGCACATGAAATGTCATAGTCTACAACTACCAACAAATCATAAATTAATCTAAAATCCAAAATAAATAATCCTTTTTGCAAATAAATTCCTTTAAATCATCATAATTATCAAAAATGATCCTTTTTCCAAAATAATTCCTTTTAAATTATTATATTTTTCTAAATGATTATGTTATCAAATAAATTCTTTTTAATTAATATAATTATCCAAAAATGATTGCGCTGCCGAAATAAATTCTTTTAATTCATAATAATTATTCCAAAAATGCTATTTATCATGTTACTATGATATATTTAATATTCTTCATCAAACAATCCCACGCATGTAATAATATACCACAACATACAACATAATCGTAATATGGTCTATCTATGCATATAATTAAATTCACAGATCTAAAATTAAAATGACAGTTAATGAGCAAGAGGGATCTTGCCTGCGAGACCAAGGAACCTACGGACGAGGCGGCGACACCATTTCTTGTTGTTCGTTTTTCGACGACGCGCGCAGCGGATCGACGGTTGGCTTGTGGAGCTGGACGGCGACATCAGCAACAGGTTCGACGGTGTAGGGATCTCAACATGGCT